ATGAACCGACAAATCCCTAGCCATTTCCACATATGTTTGACCCTGTTTTTTCTCCAAGGACCTAAAACGCTGTCGATAAGCCTCAGGAACGAGTTCATATGCTCTAAGCACCGCCAATTTTATTTTAACATAGCTAGAGCTATCCTCCAGACATAACGCGGAATATGCAGACTGTGCTCTTCCTGTGAGCACACACTGAAGCATCAGGGCACAGTCTGCATCCAGCCAATCCCTAGCCTTAGCTACCCGTTCAAAAAGCAAAAAAAAAAGTGTCAGGGTCACTTTCATTAAATTGCGGTAACAAGCGCAAATTGTTAGCATCGAACCGATTATGGGACCTGGGCACCTGTTCACCATGCCGCTCACCCAACGCCGCACCATCTCTGACCATAGAAAGACGTTGTCCTTCCATATCCAGTTTGGCTCTCTCAGTCTCCTGCCGTATCCGCTCCACTGCAATTTCCTTTTCAACCTCCATCTCATGCTTCATTTTGTCATGATTCAGCTGCAACAATAACATCTCCTTCTGCTGTTCAAAGGACAGTGAACTAGCCTGAAACAGTGGTTTTAACAACACACCTATTTTCTCTGCCGGAAACACTCCCGTTTCACCTAATGCCGTCACAATAGAGTCTTTTATAGTGCTTTTTAGCCTCTTATCGCCGACGATTTCAACCGAGAAATGTTCAGCAATTACGAGTAGCTGCTCCATTGAGAAATTGTCAAGGGCTTCCTGAGATGGAGCCCTGATAAATGCGTCTACATCTGCCATACTATCACAGAACACCGGAGCTTACACTGAGACGAATAGCAAAACAATAAATGATTGGAGTTCCCCCACTAACTGCGGCACCCACTAACTAATCTCCTCCCTAGTCTTCATGTAGTTACTTGCGGCGGGTACTTATGCACTGGAGACCGCTGGCCCAGCAAAGCGACTAGCAAGCTAGCAACAATACTGCGACCACGGCCATGCCCCCAAGCCGAGGCTTCAGCCACTTTCACCACAACATTAAACACCCTGCCCAACGATCCCAAGGGAACCGTCGCTATAACCTACCAGGGGAAACTCCGCACAAATAATGAACTAACTCCCAACACCAGCTTACCTTACCGGGATGGACGAGCCCCCAGCTGTCATGGCTTGGCTCTCAGCCACAACAAACGCGCGACAGAAACGAGAGCGTGAATAGAAAAAAAAAGAGTTTATTTGGCTGCTGCTGAAGTACACAAACAGGCGAAACAAAAGGTCAGCTGGTCGTGACTGCTCTTCACGTTGCGTCCTCCTGCCAGAGAGAGAGCGAGAGCGAGATCCGGTCCAGTCCTTTATCCGGCTAGCTCCAGCCGCCAGGGGTCCTCAATTCCCGTGAGCACACACAGAGGGAGAGTCATTAAAGGGCCACACACACGGATACCCACCACCAGAGATAGTGAGGCAGGGGTCGTCACATGACTTATATATAACTTAATTGTTGTTATGATCACATTTTCACACACCAACAGACCATCCATACCCATTAATAAATACTATATTTTGATATATGTACATTAATAGTGAGCACATTTTACTTTATTTATGTTTGCATACTATCTGTGTGTCTTTTTGTCTTTATATCATGGCCATCTGTCTTTCCACACATCCACAAACATACATCCACTTACTCAGATAAGGTGATGAATGTGTGTATGAACGACTTTCTCCTTTAGTTTTATGTTGCATTTGTCTTCTCAAGTGTGTAGGTTATTTAGAATTTGATCTTTTATTCTACGTTGGCAGCAACGCTCAAAATAAATCTCAATTTCCTTTGTAACCTTTGGCGGCATAGCAAGAGCAGTGTTGAGGGATTGGTATTGTTTGTCTATAAATCACAATGAAAATTGCTCCTTTCTACAAATGACTGAATATAAAGTTGACATCTTCACATTATAGCAGTGGATTTGGTATTGTGAGCTGTAACAGTATTTTTCCCTGGCAGTTTATTTGAAAGAAACGGGACACGGCTTAATGAAATGCTCATTGTCTGTCTTTTGTTCCTGAGAATATGTAATGCGTCAAGAGCCAATGTTACAGAGCTCATGCCTATTACTAAAGGATGTTGACCACAGAGGAGATTTATGATGTATGTTCACACAAGTTAACTCCTTGTCTTTCAAATGGCTTTGTGTCCTCTCTCGCGTCCCCCATGAATCAGCCTTCGCAGTTTTTTTTATTTTTCTTGCCAAGAACATCACAGCACACAGCAGACAACTTAGAGAAACAGGTTTTTTTCCTGCATAAAAATGACATTACCTGAGAAGATATTCTGTACATTTTGGCTTAGAAATCTGGAGACAGACATATTTTGTGTGTTATTCAAAGACACTGGCAGGCCTTGCTGACAGCAGTCATTAGAATAATTTCACATTCTCTCTATCTGGAAAAACAAAATATAACCCCCTGTATCCCCTCTGTCTCCTCTGATCCACTTGCAATGTGCATTCAGAAGATACCAGTGTATCCATGTTTTGTACGCTGAAAATAAATACATGAAAATAATATGTGCTAATTACAGTTTCCAAGCTAAGAAGACTATTACTATTAATGTATATGTAGATACAATAATAAAACGTGTACCCATACCATAAAACATGTATATTAGTATAGTTGTTTGAGGACCCAAACACTAGCAAACTTCACCCGTCACATTTATGTGTGTCAGTTAGTCTCAACGGTGAGTAATTCCCATGTAAACAATAGTCTGTATTGTAGTCCCATGGCTTGGCTCTGATCCTGTAAATGGCTCCCCTGACAGACTATCACTGTATAACTTGAGCCTCTGTTTCTTGGCTACAATAGTTACTATGATCGGTGATACAGCCAAATTATTACTAAATGGTATCACTGATGCTACAAGTAACTATCAAAAGCCACAATGAGTGACACAGTATTTTGGCTCGACACATTTATATGAATACATTTGTTTCGTCTCTTGCATCCATCTGTCTACCCATGCACCATGTTTTTTTTTCCTTCTACTTTTTCACCAATACTGAGGCTGAGATCATACTGACAAGAGCATGTGGATCTCAGAGGCCCTCTCAGTAGAGAAACAGCAATGTGATAGTGTGGTTTTCTCACTGTCAGCCCCGGGAGTCAGTTCTGTGAGAGTGAGGAGGAGGGATGGTGAAACTCCCAGGCACTGGATCTGTACCGCCAGTCAGCTCTGTGCAAAGTATAATAATGACAGTGACCTCACCCTTTACTCTTATTATATTGCTTCTAGAGCGACCACAGCAGGTGGTTTGTGTGCATCTGTGCATTGTGTCTGTTTGTGTGTGCTTTCCAGAGGTAATGCACTTTAGGTACCTTTTGTATTTGAGTTGAAGGTTATTTCTGTGTGCCAGGGGGTGCGTGTGATACACAATCTCACCATCCAATCTTATTGTCATAGAATGAGAAAAGAACAAATCCAAGCTATGGAATTGATGTTAAGCAAGACAAGTTTGACCCCTGTGTCAACGAGGCCACATCTCTTGACAGCTTGTCCATTATGCCACTCCTCAATCCCTCAACCCTACAATTACGGTGTAGCAGGAGCGCCAACCTTGCAGATGTGAGGGTAGTGTAGGTTAAATGATCAAATATTTGTTTAGGAGGGCTGTCCTTATTGGTGCTCTGTAAGGTTATCTATCAGCGAGTCACACTAATTGTGTCCAACATAGTATGGACCATTTGCTGTTCATGCATGATATGAACTTCCATCTGCAGATTGGCCAATCATTAGAAAAAAGACAATTACATATATATTTTTCATACACTCGTGACACTTGCATTTATGTCACAACAGGCAATTTAAAATGAAGAACATTCAAAAGCATCACTGAATAGTGGCCTATAAGATGTATACAGAAGTGCATTTATGTGTTATTTTCATTTTGTTTACTTCTGCAAAGGAGATATCTATTGGTTTGTTTGTAATTATTTGTTGACATGTCAAAACTCAAGGCTAGACTGGGATGGAATTAGTTGTTCACATTTACTCGATCAAGAGGAAGAATCGTATTGGTTTTGTGACCCTGCAACCTTTCCTGTTGTACAGGCCTGACCTTCAAGTTTCAAGTGAACATAGCTTCTGATTCACATAGTGTCCAAGAGTCATTTAAACAGACACATGTGTGATGAACCCATGACCTCTTAATCAGCTTTTTAATCCGTCTTTGAAATATTGTCCCTTTTAGACGAAAACCGAAAAACTATTACTTGTCCTATAATGCAGTGGTCTGCTATCTCCACTTGCTTGCTTTTGTCATTTGTCTGTGTTTTCTCTAGATGTTTAGTTTGCGCTTAAAGGCAACATTTCGATGGAACACAATTTCAGTCAAGTAGAGATTTTATAAAAGGCAGTCAATGTTGCTTTGAATTGACATGTGGCATTGGATGAAATGTATGGCTGCAATTCAAATAATCATAATATGAAGAGTTGTTTTGAAAGAGATCAAGGATAATGCTTCATCTACTGAATTGCTGCATACAGTATCACTTTTAATTTAAAGTTGTATTTGTGTGTGTGTATGTATGGTGTGACTCTGGGTATGTGTGTGTTCGCATTTGTGTGTGTCAATAAGACTAAACCCTTAAAAGCAACCTAAACATGGTACTACATCCATGCTCCTGTCCCATCTGATCCCCTAAGACACTGCTTACTCTTTGAAGTCTCCACTTGAAAGGCCTGATCTGAATACTGTGGATTTCACAGCATCTCTGCAAACAGTGATTACAGACTGAATAATGAGCCACACCAACACTGCACACACACGTTTACACATGCTTTCTATCTAGGCCACACACACATGGATTATGCAGGAGTCAGTATGTCACAGCATATAGTCTGACTCAGTTATAAGTTGTTTTTATGTTTGAATTCAACCTACTGCAATATGTGTTATTCCATCATGTTTCATACTGTCATAATTATGGTTTATAATAATGTATTGTATATATTTGTGTGTTCTTTTTCTAGTGTCTGCTGAGATCTTAAAAAGCAGTTTGACCACCATGGAAAGTCACATTCAGAGGCTTGAGAACGACATCGAGAACTTCCCCAAAACAGATGACAAACAAGATAAGTTTGTGGAAAAGATGTTGATATCCTTTTTATGGTGGTCATTGTTTAAACATTGCTTATACCTAATGGATTTGAGCATGTTAGGACATTGTGTGCACCCATTTGTCATCAGCAGGGGTAAAGGCTTGTGCTGTTTGTGTTTTGCTTGGCAGTGGTAAGCAGTTAAAGTCACTTGGTGTGATAGGTGGCACCCAAGGGAACGTAGGGAATGGATCTGGCAGCCTCACTATGAGATGTTGATCGGATCTCCCTCTTCACTCCTTCCTTGGTCCCAAGAGTGAAATCATGCCTGTGGCTATTTTTATTGCACTCTGCCACCGCTGCCTGTCACCTGGGACACTCTAATGGGGGCTCTAGACCCTCACACCAACTTATCGCCGATCCCTGATTTCATCTCCTGACCGGCCACAAGTCTCTCCACACAACCATCCGTGCACTATCTTCTCTCATGGTACCTCTCCTGTTTCGATAACAGAGTGTTTCACTTAAAGCCAAGAATCTCTGCTCCCAAATTGAATTAGCCATGTCTCTGCACTTTCTTGAATGCCCTTTCTGTGAGGAAAGGTCCTCACTGTATAGGTTTGATCAATGGTGGAAATCCAGTCTGTCGTCAATACCTTGAGGCAAGAGCGTCTTTCATAGGAGAACAAACAGTAAAGCAGTCTTCTTTGTTTGTGTCTTTCGTTGTTAAGGAAATAAATAATTACTTTAGTAATCAAACAAGTGAGTAGGTGTTTCCATATGCTAGACAACCTCACGTAAGACAGCATTTAACCTGAGTTTTGCTTCCTATTGTCTGAGATTTATTAAAGCTGAGTGTGCACATAGGGTGGTATAAGAGTAATAGCCTCCTAACACATTAACAATCTGCTCTCAGTCAAAGAAGGGCACTTACATTTGTGTAATTAAAAAGACTGAAACAGAGACCTCCCTGGTGGCGGCTTGGAGGCAGAGCAGGCAGGAAGAAAGCTACGCGGCCCCCCCGATGTCAGTATTGATTCTCAGGCTTCTTTGCGAACTAGAGGCTTGAATGAGAGGAAATGGAGAAGTGTAGATATACTGCAGCTCGGCTCTTCCTCACTGTCTGGAGTTCCTCCCCTTAGGGAGGCAGAGGGAGGAAGCTGGCTGGCCATGACCTGAAACATCCCACTTCCTCCCCTTTTCTCCCACCTGATTGAGTTTAGGTGCCAGGAAGAAGACTTAATAGAATTTAATAAGATCTATTTTGGTATTTACCTTATTTAAGAAGTCACCGATAGGATGCACTGACAAGCATATATAGTTAATTTCCCATCGGCGTTGTGTTCCATTTGGAGTTTTTGCGTAATGGTTCAAGGCATTGTGCTTTCCATACCCTTGATTTCTCAAGTGGCATAATTGCTTAAAGGGGACCTATCATGCAAAATGCACTTTTGTACGTCTTGTATACATGAATATGTGTCCCCGGTGTGTCAGGGAACTCACCAAGTGTCAGAAAACATAACCCTCTCTCTTTTCCTCCATACCCAAATCTCTAAAAACGGGGCTGCAACGGATCTGATACAGACTGATACAGATTTGAAATATCTCTGACGTCAGAAACAAGGAGCTCTGCCTATATGGGCAACTCCCCACCTATCAGGAGGAGACAGCCACAGCCATTGCAGTTTGAAGGCGCTGGAGACGCTGTAGTACATATGCCAGGCCTGTAGGTGGCGCTGTAGTCTGCCACAAAAGCAGCAAAGAAGACTTCTCACGGATTCAGCCCTTGCAAAAACAGGGCTAAAAAAGAGCAAATAGCGCGAAATGAGGCATGGCTAAAATGCATGATCTGTTTGGTATTTTGAAAAAAAAAATTTGCAGACATGTTTTATATAGGTCTGGCCCTACAATATATATTTCAAATATAGCACGATAGGTCCACTTTAAGTTGTGATTATTTTGTATCATAACTTTCATTGTTCTATGTTTTGGGAGGCAGACACACACATGGAGGCACAGGAAGGATTCAAATGATTAAAAAGGCCTCCTTGTTTGTTCTCTCAGTTAATTCCCTGGGGTGTTTTATCTGCTTTCCGTCTCCTATTCATAATGTAAAAATCATTGATTATAATTGAATCATAACAACAAGGTATCAGGAACATTGTACCTCTATTTTTTAGTGAGTGTATATTATGTTATACATGTGTGTGTCTGGATGTGCATACTTATTTTTAATAGAACACTGTGATTATACTCACATTCTTTACTGAGTGTCTTTCAAGTAGCTGTGTCTCTCTATGTTACACTAAGACATTACTCTACAGTATGTGTGTGTCATAACCCACTTTTCTGAATGACAATCTTTTTTCTACCGCTTTTAACCTCCCAATATATTAAATGTTGGTCTTTTTTTTTTCTGTGCACGAGATAGAAGTGCAGGCTGTGCTTGATTTGCTGAGGTTTTTAGTACCAGTGTTTGCAGGCAGCTTAGGTGGTGTTCTAATCTGTGTTGCACAGCAAAGTGTTGGAACAATCACAGTGTGAAATACAGCGCTGTGTATTTTCAATTGACATTTCCTTTGGTACACATAAGATAGTAGATTCAAGGCAAACATACCTTTTTTTAACTTTTCCCTGGGATTAAAAAAAGGATGTTTGTTCCTTGAAGCATGACAGATGGAAGAACAACAACAGCTAAAAGTCATGCATTTGATGCTTGAGCAACCCTGAAAAAGTTAAGTAAAGCTCTGTTGTCTTGACTGTTGGGCACTGTGATGAATGAGTCAGCCTGCGCGTGTGTGTGTGTTTGCGTGCGTGCATCTGTGTGTGTGTGTGTGTGTGTGTGTGTGTTATGGAAAGAAAGAGAGCGAGGGTAATTTACAGTGCATGTGTAGGTGAGTACATGTGCCTCTGTTTCACTGTGACTCTTGTCAGCTTTTTTCCTGAGATTAATTTCAGGAGGCCATGGTCACTGCAAGGTATTTTTAAAGTAATATCTGCCCCAAAGCAGCATAGTTTTAATTAAACCTTCAACAATAAATTATGATTTGTTTTGTTTCACCACGCATGATTAGTGTTACTAATTTGTTTAGGCTTCAGATATTCAAGGTTTTGCCCATTAAAAAGTCTGATGAATGTTTGCCGCAAACAATTTGTGAGAACACATCTGTCAAGCAATCAAACAATCTGTCGTATGTATCCGTCATATCATTTGTTAACCTTTTAGAGGAAATATTTCCACAAATTAATAAGACTTTCAGGAAAAGTTCAGCAGCAGTTGTGAAATTCAGAAATAAAGAAATATGGATAGATAAAATACAGAAAGAAAAAAAGTATGGAATAAAAGAAGAAATAAATGAAGGAAAAAATTGTGAATGAAATGCATGCAGAAAGAAAGAAAGAAAGAAAGAGGAAGAACAGCTTAGTGGAAGCACTTCATTTGGCTTTATTGATACATTTTGATCTTTCCATTACTGTAATGTATGCAAATGACTGAATGGGGTGTTTGTTCAGCAGTTTAGTGATCTCTATCTGTCAGAAGTAATGGGAGCCCACAAAAGGCTGTAGAGTTGAGGCACAAGCCCCCAGAGAGCCCTATTTCACCAGAGAGGCTTTGGTTATCACACACACACACACACACACAGTTACTCACATATCCATTTCTAGTTCCTGCTGGAAATGATAGAGTAGAGCTGGGGGCGTAGAGCGGGACTCTGCATACTGGAATATTAATGGTGGTGAGGTGGCTCGATAGGGATGATGAGAGACCGGACTGAACCTTGATGGGTGCCTGGACATGTCAAATACATCTCCCTCCCACTGTACTCAACGCCTTTACCCAACCCACTGATATTCAGCTTAACCTTTTATTTCCCAGAAGACCAGAGTAAGAGCACATCATTCTCTCCCATATTCACACATCGAGGGACAAGGAGATGTCTTCTCGGGCCAATTTCATCAAGATATATTAGACCAGGCTCAAAGATTTGGCCAGGCTTAATTATTTGCTTCTCAGGGTAGCCTAATGCGAGTAAGACAGTTTCACACAAATCAGAATGGGCCTAAAGGTTTGCTAGCCTAAAGCTATTATTAATAGTCATACAAATAGGTAACCACTGAGTGCTGTTGATGCTTTGAAATGTGTTTTAAATATTAAAACATAGTTTAGCTGTTAAAGAGTATTTTCTTCCCATCTTACAATTTATTTACTTTTCTTTTATATTCTTCTTAAATATATGTTATACTCCTGTTTACTGCCATATTATTCCAAAAAAAATAATGACTTGCCTGCATTTGTAGGTCTGTGTGTGTGTGTGTGTGTGTGTGTGTGTGTGTGTGGTGTGTGTGTGTGTGTGTTGTGGTGTGTGTGTGTGTGTGTGTGTGTGTGTGTGTGTGTGTGTGTGTGTGTGTGTGTGTGGTGTGTGTGTGTGTGTGTGTGTGTGTGTGTGTGTGTGTGTGTGTGTGTGTGTGTGTGTGTGTGGTATTGCTACACATTACGGGTTTTGCCAGTAAAATAGCCTTGTCGAATAATTAAATGCCTAAAAGGCTGAGTGAATGGAGCTGTGTGGCTTGAAGCCATTGGCCATGAATTTAGTTCAAAACATTCCGTATTTGCCCAGAATAAAAGCAAATTATTTAAAATACCAAGGATTTGAAAAGCATTGTTAAAACGGATGTGCTTAGATATCTATCTGAAGTGTGTTGTTAAATCTACGCCAGTCTTTCTTTGGGAACCAGCTTCTTTATCAAATGGGGGTGTATTTATTTTATTGAAGCATGGTGCTTAATTACCCAGACACAATTTCATATTCTAGTCCGTCTATCATATTGATGCCTCCCTTGACAATTACCTGCCACCATGAAGAAGCCATTTTTCAAATGGCAAGACATATTTGCAGTACTTACCTGTTGGTGAATAATAAACATTCCGCATAATCCTAAAAAGCCTTTGTCAACCTGCAATAGTTGGAAACTCTGTTTCCTTCAGGCTGGTTAACAGGTCTACATAGCATCCTCCTGATTTGACACTGAACACTTAAAGTTCAATAAATGGTTGTTA